CCACGCGCCTGTTTGCATGGCACACAGCATCAGGATGCCTCCTGGTGCAGCGTGTGCTGGCTCTTAGGGTGGCCTTTTGCCGCCCCTAAAAGGAGTGGCATTTTGCCAGACTTTTAGGGGTGGCAAAAGGAAGGATCGGGGCCACGGCATGGGGTTGCCGCGGCCCCGATCCGCTGCTAGCAGGGGTGGCTCAGAGCTGCCCGTCTGCATAGCCCCTTAGTCCACTACATTTCATCCACATGTAATGATATTTGTTAGTTTGTCACCACTAACTTCTGTATAATGTGTTACAGGTAACTAGACTACCTGTAGCTCATTACTTCCAAAATCTGTGTTTAAGTGTGCAATCTAACATTGCATTGCAGGAATTAAATGGGCAGGCTTCAAGTTTCCAAGGTATCCAAGGTATGCTTGATCCCAGCTAGCTTCTTTTAGAAACTAATGGTTGGTCTAGGTCAGGGGTAGGCAACCTTTCCCCTTTAAGGGCCAAGGGACCTCATCTCCCAGAAGCCTCAGCCATGTTGGCCAATAGTCCCATGTTGGCCAATAGCTCCTGGGATTCTGGGAGCTGAAGTCCCTCGGCCCTTAAAGGGGAAAGGTTGCCTACCCCTGGTCTAGGTCACCTTTTACCAAATTTTGGACTTCAGCTCTCAGAACTCCTGATCATTGGCCAAAGTGGCTAGGGCTTTTGGGAGTTGAAGTACAAAACATCTGGAGAACCAAAGTTTGGGAAACACTGGTCTAGATTGTCACTCCTATTGTTCCTGTAAATCCAATGCCCAATTCTAAAAACAAACAAACAAAAAAGAACACTGTGCTTTCTAGGGAAAGCAAACTTAATAATAGACATTATTAAGAAAATTAACTGTAAGAAATGAAAAATAAAGCCAAGATCTAGTAAATGTTCTGGAACACTGCCTTCAAAGACAGAAATACTTATTACAAGACTGCAGTAGCTAGTCTGTAAAGTATTCATCTCTCCAACTGAAGAGCAGTTTCAGATTATAAAGCCAGCAGTGATGCCTTTTAGCCTTCACTTAAACTGAATTGCTAGAGACAAAGCTCTCTTTATTATTCGCTTTGTTTTCTGCCATTGCCTCTGTCCCTGTTTCAGTTCCTTTTTGTAAGGGAGACTTGCAGACCCTTCAAATATTGCTTTGTGGGTTTTGCAGCTTAGTTATCATCATTCCTTATACTGTGGGCTGCCCAAATGTAAAGGCCTCACTTCTCAGCTGCATGCCTGCATTGACATTTCTTTCATTTCTCTTGTGATATAGTTATTTCAGTTCAATGCTATGGGAAAAAAACAAGCTACAGATAGAAGTGCCTGCATGCTGTATAAACTTTAGATTGTTTTGAAGCATGGTGATAAAGTTGTTTAATGGTACAAAGACAGTCCCTAAAGAAAGGTCAGGGTCTATCAAAATAATGAAGTATTTGTGTGGCACACAACTGAGCAGTTCACTTTATCTATAAATCCAGCTTGTTTTTGCAGATCTCTCTTCAGGCCCATAGAGATGACCAAACCCAACATATTTAAGCTCCAAAGCAATTTGTTTTAGAAAATTCTACTTAGAATCTCTTGAATAAATTTATATCAAAGAATTAGAGATCTTGGGCAGATCAAACAATGCAGTGGTAAACAACAATAGTCTATAATCATAATTTTCTCCCACCAAAACCAGTGAAAGAAAGGACTAAAGCAGGGGTAGGCAACCTAAGGCCCGGGGGCTGGATGTGGCCCCCCAAGGCCTTTGGACTGGCCCCAGGCTGGTCCTGCTGCCGCCGCCGCCACCGCCACCTGCCACCGCCGCCACCTGCCATGATGATATTGATTATTGTTGTTATTACTTGTTCTTGGGGTTTTCTTGGCAAAATCTCCACAGCTTTTCTGGGGCTGAGAGAGTGTGCATGCATATTTTTTTAATTAAAAAAATATTTTTATTTATTTATTTATTTATTTTTGGTGCTTCGGCCCCACAACTGTCTGAGGGACAGTAACCCGGCCCCCGGCTCAAAAAGGTTGCCTACCCCTGGACTAAAGATTTCACACATATTTTAAAAATACTAGAGCTAAAATAAATTTACTATAATTTGTGTCAAATATAGCAAAACTAAATGTGCTATTATCATAAAGTTTGTTGTTGTTGTTGTTGTTGTTGTTGTTGTTGTGTGCCTTCAAATTGTTTCTGTCTTATGGCGATCCTAAAGAGAACCTATTATGGGGCTTTCTTGGCAAGTTTCTTCAGAGATTTAGCAAATGCATAACAAGTACATTGGTTTGCCATTGCCATCCCCTGAGGCGGAGAGTGTTTGTCTTGCCTAAGGTTACCCAATGTGTTTCATGGCCAATCTGGGATCAAATCCTAGTTTCCAGAGTTAGAGTACAATGCTTAAACCACTATATTACACTAGCTCACAACACCATAATGTTTACTGATGACAAAATGTATTGCCATTAGAGTATGAGTGGGGAATGTGTAACCCAGGGGCTACAGGAAGTCTCCAAGGTTGGTTTTGAGGCCCTCAAACCTCCTAGTACCCACCTCTCTTAAAACAATGAATTCACTTCTGTTTGCTTTCTTAAATAAGAGAAATTGGCCTCCTATTGAAGCTGTGGAGGTGTTTTTTTTGCCACTTTCTAAATGTAAGGGTTAAAAAAACTTGAGAAACAATATGCCAGCTGTGTCAAACATCAGTGTGAATGTGTGAAATAACATGTTTCATGGCTATAGTCTAGGTCATTCCCTTCTTGGATGCACAGAGAACTTTTCAGCACCCCAGTTAGTGCAACAGTACAATACAAGAACTGCTCCTCTAGTTTCAACAAGACTGTACTGGTGTTCTTCCAAATTACTTCCCACCACATATCTACTTGTGAGATACTTTGGTACCTACTCTTATTTTTTAAAAAAAAACAAAAAAACCCTTCTATTCAGTGAGAAAGATATATCCCTGATCATGAGCTAGTGTTTCAGTGTCTCTAAGGCCTGAAACAGATGAGCCTAAAGGAGTATTGCAAGGCTGCGCTGGCACCATTCACACCAGGACTGTGGCAACTGCACGTGCCTAGTTCCAATCTGAGCTACTGCCACAGTTCTGAACCAAGCTGCCAGAAGAAGCATATTCTAACAGTTCCTTCTTGGCCTGGTTCTTTTTCATTGGCATGGCTTCAATGCAGCTTCAGGCCACAATTGGGGCATGTGTCATTTGGAACCATGTCATTTTGCCTGTCTGTTTCATGATAGTAGAGATTAGTTTTGTGATAGCAAAGATGAGATCTTTTAAATCTTCCCCAATTCCACACAGTGAGACCATAAATCCA